CATAGGATTTGTACATTTGTTAGTGAATTTTCTTGATTATAGGACGTGAAGGCCTAATATGAATGCATAAAATAAATATCTCGGTCGGACTCGCGACCGGATACTTATTTAAGGGTTCGAGCCTTGTCAACTCCCACTTGCCTCATAGGAGGATCGGGCTCGAACTTAAATTCACTTATTGACCTGTGCAGCATCCCTAGACGCCACATATGTTTCTACAACATGCTCGCCAGGGCCCATGCTTGTGTTTGGGGGCATTTTATAATTATTTATTGAACTTTGTCAACTCCTATTTACCTGCTTAGGAGGATCGAGTTCAAACTTATTGACCCGCGCAGCATCCCTAGACGTCACGTGTGTAACAATAGCATGTTCGCCGGGGCCCATGCGGGTGTTTGGAGTGCATTTTGTAATTATTTGTTAAACCTTGACTACTCCTTACCTATTTAGGAGGATCAGACTTAGATTTAGTGACCCGCGCAACATCCCTAGACATCACATGTGTACCAATAACACGCTCGCCAGGACTCATGTGGGTTTTATGACTGCACTTAACCTTTTTTGTACCTATGTGTATACAAACTACAGTGCATGTACGGGTGTACTTTGAAATATTTGTAAACGCCTTCTGTCCGCTTGCATGAATGTTGCAGATCTGGTGGCGTGGTGCAGAAGCTTTTAGATTGAGTTGTTTGCTGCTTTGTATAGATAGACTATCGTGCACTACTTGTTTTCTGCAGGTGGACTGTAGTGCACTAACGAATCTCCTGCTTTAGTTTGTGGACAATTGCATTTACATGATGTTTTTGTTCGTGGTCCTTGCTTTGCATACGAGTCTTTTGGAACTGACGACAGGCGTTTGAATTTGTTGTAGTTATTTTGCATTTTGTTTGTGGTTGACACATTGGGTGTACAATAAACCTTCTATAACACATCGTAGAGGTTTGCATTTATTGTAGTCATCAATCTTTGCTTGTAACAAATCAACGTATTTTGCTCAACATTGGACAATGATTGATTGTAGAGGTGTTGTGAAATTCGTCGCCTTCTACTACGATGACTTATTGGGGCGTGGGTATCTTGTATGTGTAGCAGATATATTGCATGACAACTTGCATTGATCGTGGAAGAGTCATATTCTAGCTTGCACTTGCTTATGCATCCATTATAGTCTTCTTGTATGCATTCATTGAATCCCCCTTGAATGAATTCGTAGAACGCTTGTCAACCTTGTTGTTTACAAACAAGTTGGCATATTTGCCTGAGGTTGAATGATGTTAGCCACTTGCAAACTGTATTTGTTAAGACTTGTTTAGCAAATCTTGATCATTAATCTGTCATATTCACTACGTATTGGACTCATTTGTTGATGTACTTTCTTGAAGTTGAATCATTATAGATGATGGAGATGTCATCATATTCCTTCATCCCTGTTCACTCACTTCAACTGTCTATTTAATCAAACAGATCCTTCTATCACAAATCCTTGCGCTCACTTTGAGTTGTATTGCTTGCATGAAGTTCATTTGAATGCAATCTCTTCAAGCAAATTACATCGAAGCCCACAAGTCCTTGTACATCTGTTTGCATGGTGGACATTTGTTTGTATAGTGTTTATTTGGATACACTTGAATGATTAGAATTATTATTTGTAGTTGCTTATTCCCCTTTGTTACAATCTTCTTGTTGCTTGCAAGAAGATTAGTGTATTCATGTCTTTGTAACCATGACAATTATTCTGAATCACTCAAATGCTTGAGTTTCATCATCACTTGTAAGTCACCTTGCATATGAGCGTTGACTATTGGATGAACTGCACTTATTGTATACTAACCACCATGGCTTGTAGAAGTTCAATATACTTATTTGCATTTTAATTTTCACTCGTTAGAAGTTTATGCATGGATTATGATACACATTTGAAGCTTTCATTTGCTTGACTGCTGTCCAAATTGTAAATTCATATGGTTGTCTTTTGATTCAATCAAGTTCATGTTCAATGTTCAAGCATAGTTATGTCCACTTGAATTTGGGTCCAAATTGCCCAAGTCATATTCACTTAATACTTAAATCAAATTTAAGTTCGAATTCATTTAGGTCAATTAAATCAAGTTCATAAGTCCTCATTTATCATTTGAGTTTGATCGAGCTCAAGTCTTGTGTAAGTTCAAAAATTGATCCAAGTCCTCTGTAGTCCAACTCAAGTCTTTGCTTGAGTTTAAATGTTCAAGTCATGTCCTTGTTCATTTGAGTTCTTCTGCATATGGTTCAAGCTTAGTTCATTCAATTTCATTTATTTAAGTTCAAGCCTTTGTTAGTCATTTGATTTGTATTCAAGTACAAGTCCTTGTTGTCTAAAATTTCTTAAAGTCCTTGTCTTTCTCAGACAAAATTTCGGCAGCCTCCCGGTGTCTCCCTTGTTTAAGGGAAAACCCAAGAGGCAGCCTACCCGCCACGTCAAGAAAGATGTGCACGGTTGGTGTTGTGAGACACCGCGGCCGTAGTTTTTTTTTTATCCACCACGCCAAGAAAGGCGTGCATGGGTCTTTAAAAGCATTTTTTGAAAAAAAGCAGTTCTTTATTGCCTCGCCGTGCTAAGAAAAGCGCGCACAAGGCTCTCCTTCCTCGTTGTAAGTGCCGCACCGAGTTCACTCCCACCACACTAAGAAAAGCGTGCATAGGGGGTCTCTCGGTGCGCCACGAACACCGAAAACAGGACTTTAGGGGAGGATTACCCGCCTCGTCACAAGCACCGCGACGAATTTCCTCCCACCGTGCTAAGAAAGGACGCATGGGTGGTTGTTCGACGCGCTACAAGTGCCGAAGATGGATTTTCTTAAGTTTAGGGGGTTATATCTTGGCGGCCGGCATTTGACGACGGCGATGAGAGAGGCAAAATGTACAAAAATATGTTTTCTTTTCCCTCATTCATTTTTTTTACTTCTTCTTCTGCCAAATAGTCACAAGTTCAGCTCCTCCAAAGGCTGCTTCCTATTGATAAATCTCTAGCATATTTTTCTCTAAGGAAAACAGTCAGTGGGTTTCCTTTTATTGAAATGTAGAGAATCCCAGGATGTTTGAGAAGTTCTCTAAGATTGGCAGTCATATTGAAATCCCTTCTGAAATTTCCTGGAAGTTGTCTGATGGCTTGTGGACTCCCCCTGCAATAACTCGGAAAACTAGCAAGGCCTTCTTTAATGGACAACCATAATTATATAGCTCAATCGAGTCAATTGCTCTTGTCCTGGTTGAAGTTGTGAAGACTCCAATTCCTCCCTTCAGTTCCTTGGCTGAGAATCCATGCCGCAGCATCTAAGTTGTCTAAGACGACAACATTATCAAACATGCCAGGAAGTTACTTCCTATTTGGTTTAATGCATCTAATGAAATGGGGAGTTGTATTCTCCAAACGCTGCATGAGTCTAAACAATTGAGCCTTGAACTTTGTTCCCACACTTTGCTTCTGGGAATCAGCACCATTTAACCTCTGAGGGCTGGTTGACCTTTGAGATTGATTAAGCATGTGTGAAGTAAATGTTCGAAGGAGTTGACAGCTGTATGATTGAAGGAGCTGAACTAAGTCTGAGTAGAATGGATCTCCGCTCTTCTTCAAGAAGCCACTTGTGTCATACACGACCTCACCAGCATAATGGAGAATTTTAAAAGCACCATCCTTCCCCACTTTAAAGCATGGATTACTGCTCAAATGTTTCTGAAACTTGATCGCCATAGTTGAATCAGTTGCTTTGGCAAAGTTTGGCTCTTCATCCACCAAAGACAATATCCCCAAAGGCTTCTTCTCAAAACGATTCAGACATTCAGTATTGTCAATGAAATCAAAATTGTTCCAGTCAATGCCATCTTGAGTATATTCCTCGTGCTCAAGCTTAAAATGATGCCGATTGAAGTACTGGAAGCTTGTTTAGCCGTGGACTTTGACTTGAAGTCTGGATCTGTAGATGGACGGATAGGAAGAAAAAGAAGAAAAGGATGGACAGGGCTTTTGATCTGTGGTTGCAGGTGTCTTTGCATGGTCGTCGGAGTTGAGATGTGGTTGGAGAAGGCTGATTGGCAAAGGTTTAAACGTAGAGCTGGCCGTGAGGTACAGGTAAAGCTAGCAAGAGAGTTGCTTGCTAAATGGAGGGAATCTGACCAAGTGGGTGCTGGATAGAGGATTTCACTTGAAAAGATTAAGAAAGATAAGGCCTTAAAACCAGATTCTGCTGCCTTTCTCTTGGAATCAAATGAGAGTGGAGAGTGGTCTCCCTGCTCTGTGAAGCCCTGAGTTTGAGAGGAGGAAGGAGGGATCGGGTAGAGTAACTTCTCGGCTGTATGAGCTGGAGTGGATTCGGGACTTGAGTGGCTTTCAGGTGGACGGAGCAGGTATTGATCCTGGCTTCAACAAGAGGCGAGTAGGGATCTGGACGGAGTGGAGGTTGAATTCTCGGCAAAGCAAGAGGTGCTGTTTAGGCCATGATTTAAGGGAAGTGGAGGAGGGAATCGGAAGTGTGAGTTGCACAGCTAGGAGGAAATGGACTTGTGAAGGAGAGGAAAAGTACCGAACCATACAATCCTCTTTAGTCTCATTCAACGAAGGAGCCTCGTGCATTCCTTTGAGGAAACTCCTGTCCCAAGTCTCATTTCAGCAGGAATTACGGGATTTAGCAGAGGTCCGGGGCAGGATATTTGAGGAGATACGAGGTAAGTAATTAAATGCGATATGAAATTTCAATTGACTTTTATTTTACTCTTATTTCTTTAAAATTAATATTAACATTAATAATAATATATTATTATCAATGTTATTATTAATTTAAAATTGCAATCATGTGATGAATCCAAAAGGAAATGCTTTAATTTGTGTCCACTTCGAAGTTCGTGTATTACCCAAATTGAACAAATAAAATACAATTTTTGAGTATTTGCAATGTTATGAACACAATGATGAAGTCTGTTTGTCGATCCGACATCGTTTGATCAGCCTCGCGCTTTAATTTCAGGTGTTGGTCGTCCCTTTTGACTGATCTCGTCCGATTCAATTGCGAGAGGCCTCGAGCCAGCAGAATTCAGTGTCCTTATCGCAATGATACCATCCGTTTGGCATTTGGAGGTCATTTGACTCCGTAAGTGATGCGTTTCGTCAATGCATGCATTGCTTAAGTCATCGTTTTCGCCTATTTTCGCATGGTTTTATGTGTAGGGGTCAACAGATTTATGGGCATTTTAAAAACAATCTCATTCAATTGAAAATTTCTATCAACTTGGCCATAATTGATGCATTTAGATTTTTGCTTAATTTTTTGTTATGAACAATATTAGTTATATTTTCTATTTTTTTTTGTTTTTATGCTATCCAATGATGGTGGTAAATCCAATGATCATGGTAGGAAGAGGTTTGGATTTTGCTTCCTTGGGTTTGCCGGCTTGGGGGGTCATGTTCCTTGGATGTTGTGTGGTTTTCATGAAGCATTGGCTGTTTCGTTTGAGCTTAAGATAGTTGAAAACATTAGTAGTGCCAGCTCATAATATCTATGGAGGAATAGCTCATTATGAGCTGATGTTAGTTATGAAATTTTATATTGAGCCAGTGTTGGGAGTGGGAAAACTTGTTCTTTCCTAATTGGAGCTGCTGCAGTTTCTCTGGATTTCCTCTCCCACGGCTTGCTGTTGCTTGCTGTGCCCCCTCGTTCTTGCCCCTTTTCTGCCGTAACTTCCCCCTTTATTTCCCGTGGAATGACTTGGCTGGTCCCGATTTTTGGCTCCTGGTTTTCCTGTGGCTTGGCTGATTGGAACCGTGTCCTCCTCCTTGAGATATGCTGTGTCTCTTGGGATTTCAGCAAGGTGACTTTTGGCTTTCATTTCTTTATTTTTATATGGAATTTTGATGGGTTTTGGGCTGTTAAGTTTCCCATCTATTGCCTATATATATGAGATGCTTTGTGATGAAATAGGTGGGTAATATTGAGAGCCAAGTGCTATAACCTGCGGGTTCTTCTTGGAAAAGCTTGAGAGCTTTGTCCACCTTCTTCCACCTCCTCTGGAAAGCTTGCGAGCTTTCTCCTCTTTCGTCTCGGCTTCTAACCTCTTTCTTCTCTACGCAAGTTCCACTCCACCTGTATCTTTCTTCTAGTTCCATTGGTGAAGTTGTTTGACTTGTTTTGTTGGCTGTTTTAAGTGAAGTTGTGGCTGTTTTGGTGAAGTTGTGGGCTGTATTGGTGGCATTTTGGCTGGAGAAGTTTGAAAGGACATTGGAATCCCTTAGCTGTGGTGGACCCTTGGTTTGCATATCTAAACCTTATTTTTAAAATATATTCTACAATCGGTGCATGTGTGAGGAGTCCTCTTGTAGGATGTTCTGAGGATAGCCTTTTTTTTTTAAATATTGTTTCTTTGTTAATTTTCTTTTGTTTTAGTCGTTGGAAGTTGCCTCTTTCCTATTCTGAAGTTAGTTGTTTTCTCTAACCTATTTTTTTCTCTAAGTAATGTCTTAAATTTATAAAAGTAAGATTTGATTCTCTTTGTTGTTCTCTCTTTGTGTTTGCTTTAATTTGCTTACATCAATAATTGGCGCATTTGAACGATTTCATTTTGTTACTTGAATCCTATCAACTCTGCCCACTTGCACACAGAGGATTGGGTTCAATGATTAATTTTACGAGTTAGCTTATAAGGGATGACTTTGAGAGTTTGTATTTTATAATGAGTTTTTTTTTTTGTAAAAAAATATTGATGGTCTATTGTAAATATAGAACAAAATATCTTCATGTGTTTTGTTGTTATGCTAATTAATGAATTTATTTAATCAAAAGAAGAAAATGATTTGAAATGGTTCTTTTATGGCAACCTATGAGAAATTTTTTCTCGAGCATCCATAGGAACATGTTAACTCTAATCCTTGCAATGAGGAGGATCATACTTGAAATATGAGACTTGTGACTCTACTCTATAGACAAAGTGGCCTGCTCAAGGAGCATAATGCTTTTTTATGAGTGAATTTGAATTTTCTTTATTCTAAAAATAATTGCATGACTCTCAGAGCAGAGTCCATTCGCGTTCAATTTATTATTAGTCAACACAACATTTTTAGATGTTAAGTTTGAGCATTTAGCATGTTTGTCGAAGCACTTGCGAACGATTTTAATTTTGAAAGGGTGTTTGTGAATTTAAAAATGTTTGTAGGTTTTATTGAGCAATTGCATGTTTTTCGAAGTGAGATTTTTAATTCACGTAGCCCGCATAGTATTCTTATTATTAAAATTTGATGTTAGAATATTTATAAGAGCGCATGTGATTGATTTTGATTTTTGATGCTCATACACACTTTTTAGCGCACTTGCATGTTTCTTGATATACTTGCACATGTTTTGGTGTACACTTATATAATTTTTTGTTGCATTTATGCATTTTTTTTGTGTTTACAATGTATGCTAGCTCATGTTTTACTGCATTTGTATATATGTTTTTTGAGGTGTGTGTAAAATTATTTTTGATGATTTAATGTGTTATACACGCCTAGTCAAAATGGTTGTGCGACATAACTCAATTACAGGGTGCAGTCTGCTCACAAGGCGTGTATTTGTTTATAGGGTGTGTAAAAATCCCTTTTGGTGATTAATCGGCATGTCGCTTAGGGTACTTGTACAAAATATGACATGCAAAGTTGGACCATTTCACTTTATTTGAAAATCATTCTCATGTACAGATCTATTTGAGATGTGTAAAGGTTTAAAGTAACAGTTGTTCATGTGAATGCATCTTCTTTGGGATGTGTATATAACTTTCATTTTGGGTTCCTTTTTGCTCATTTTGTCCGCATGCATGTGTTTCTAATCTTATTTTGAGTGGCACGAGTTAGAATCTTTTTTTTTTTTTTGTATTTTTTTCAAAGGGACTCAATTTATCTATAAGTGATTTATGCTTGGGTGGGTTTGGGCTCCACTGGGTGCCATTTTTCTTGTTATGAATATAAGCTTATTTAGTTCATTTTCATTCCAAGTTAGTTTTATCAAGCGTCTTCTGAAGGGCTGTGTGTTGAGGAGAGTTCTTTAGTTCAACCAAGAAGTTTTGCAGTCACAGTTAAGCTTTCAAGTACATCACAAGTCCTCTGTTAGCTTTATTCTGTGTTTAATTATCAGGTGGAGTGCATGAGTTCCTATTTTAAGAATATATGTTTTGCCAAAGAGTGTGTGAATTATAGAGAAATTAAGTTAACGTGTCATACATTGATATGATAGGGGAGAGTAATTGAGCATAAGTTAAGATGTGATACTAATGTTTCTCAAAATCGGTTTAGATTCATGTCGGGTAGGTTTATTATGGAAGCTATGCATTTGTTGAGAGATGGAGAAGTATAGAGAGAGTAAGAATGATTTACATATGATATTTATTAATTTAGATAAAACATATGATAAACTTCCAAGAAAAGTGTTATGGAGAGTTCTAGAAAGGAAACAAATTAATAATGCTTATTTTCAAGTCATTAAGGATGTGTATATAAAATCTGTTATTTGTTTTCAAATACAGTATGGTTTGACCAAGTATTTTCCTATTTCAGTTGGATTACTTCAAGAATTAGCTTTAAGCCTATATCTTTTGCTTTAGTATAGATGTTCTTGCAAAAGGATGTACCATGGTGTATGTTTTTTGCCGATGAGATTTTTCTTGTTGATAAGGCTAGAGAGGGATTTGATGAAAAACTTGAATTGTGAACGTCAACCTTATATTCTAAAGTTTTTCGTTTGAGTAGATCTAAAGCTAAATACATGGAGTGTAATTTTAATAGTAATAGATCTAGTTGTGTGATTGTGATATTGGGTGATTAATCATTAAAAGAGTGCATGTTTTAGGTATCTTAGGTCTATTGTTCAAAGCGATGGTGAAATAGATGGGGATATTATTAGTTGAATTCAAGTAGAAGATGGTTGAAGTGGAGGAATGCATTGGGCCTATTGTGTGATAGAAAAATACCCCTCAAACTTACAGAAAATTTTTATAATATAGTGGTGAGACTTGCAATGCTTTATGCGTATAATGTTGGTTATTAAAAGAGAAACATAAAATTAAAGTTGCAGAGATGAGGATGCTCAGGTGGATGAGTGTCTTTACACTTAGAGACATAATGCAAAATGAGTATATACGTGAAAATGTTGGAGTTGCTTCTATGGCAAATAAGATTTGAGAGTCACCTTAGATTTTTTGGTCATATAAAACGTCAATCTTCTGATGACACTGTTTGGAGAGTAGATAAATTAGACATGGCCTATGTTAAGAAACATAGATGTAGAACTAAAATGACTTGGTTAGAAATTATTAAAAATAACCTTTGACACAATGGAGAAACATGATTCATGTAGCCAACTATGCATAGTGGGATAAAGCTTGTTGTTGTTGCATTGCTCCACACCTTTCAATTTGTACTCAGTTTATTTTACTCATTTTGTTATTTCTATCACTTGTATGGTCCAAAATGTTCTTTTATCTTATTCTTAATGTTCTTTTATCTTATTCTTTTTGAGTTCTCCAAATTTGGTTCATTATAAATTTATTGAATCTCTCAATTTATCGTGCACATATGCTAAGAATGGTGTGCATGGGTGTAAACACCACTATTGTATCTTCTACTCTTATTGTGTTAATAAAGGCGTGAATGAATCTTCATACTTGCTTGAAAGATTTGTAGCACAGAATTTTCCCACCCCATCAAGAAAGGCATATATGGGTACTTATTTTTAGTGATGGCACGGTCTTCTTCTTTATCTTTCCAAGCAAGGTGCGTAGGTCTTCTACGTCCACTATGATAAAAAAGACTATGTGTCACCTACACAAGAAGCAAGCAAACAAAGTACGCTTTCTTCATTGTGTCAATAAAGATGCATACGTCTACTTCCGTGGAAGTGTGAGCTTGCTTTACATTATATCTTGCACGCGAAATGGTGACAACAATAGTGACTGTGCAGCGAGACGACAACTAGGATACATAAATTTTTCTTCTTTTTTATTTTTCGTTATTATTCCCTTTTTTTCTTTTTTCTCTTTTTTT